TTTCTCTGACATTGACACTCTTTGTGTTAGCCAGAAAGTGCAGACCAAGTAACTAGACTTGCTCTGAGATCATTTTATCCTTTTCTTGACTGTACCTGTACTGCTTAGTGTGCATCTGACATACGTTTCAGAGGACTAGGAGTATCAAGTCAAGCCAATTTATGTGTGCCTGCAAATTCCTTTGTTGGACTATCTGCATACATATTTTCAAGTCATATAACTCGTAGTTGTACACATCCATTGTATTATTGTAGTTGTATAACACACAGTTGGTTATACACTATCATCCTATTATTTTGGATACATCCTTTGTGCCTTACTTCAAAGGAGTCCAAACCAGCATCTTTGATTTGTATCATACAGTCATACAAATCTCTCCATTTCCCATCAACAAGTCCTTACATATTTAGGTGGGGGAAATTCTAGCAATATCTGCTGCATCCAGTTGCAACTAGTTGCACAACACATTTTTCCATCTAGCCATAGGAAAGGCTAGATATTTCTCTGCAAGGTCTATATTATCTGTCTTGTCAGATAAAGTTAGATTTCTCTTGTAGAACATCTACTGTTCTAGGTAGAATCACACCACCGGGCTGTATAGCAGGTAACCTCCCACGAACGACGTGTTATCTACCACGAAAGAAGAAAAGTCGTAGACCGTGAACTTGAGGTTGTTTGGCAGCATCTAGTCTTATCAAAAGTGTAATTGTGGTGTCATTGTCTTTTGACCACTTTTATATAAGACACCTCAAGTAAGAAGACACCACTGACCGTGCCACCTTCTTATAGCAGTGTTACTTCTGTACCATCACCCACAAGGGCGCATCTTTGGTTTCAGTCCACGGATTCATGGTCCATAAGTTATAGACAAAATGGGTTCTTCCAACATGCTCCAGCTTATACTGCAGACAAACGTCCAGAAGATTAACAATTGAGATCCACACAGTCCTTTTATTGTCTAAAGGGACGAACAATGGATATGAGAGTTAGAAGGGCAGGTGTAGCAGATAGGTGCAGCAGGCTGTTTCTGGTTGATGGAGTGGGAGTCATGAGGTTTACATGTAATAAGCATAACAACTTATATATGAGAGCAAGTCTGGCGGTGTAATTAAACTCCTACAGCATCCATGTTTATTGGATCATTTTCACTAAGACCAAGGGGTGTGCCAGAGTAATAGAAATTATGACTCACTCCAGTCATATCATTGTTGCTAGACTTGTGATTATATGCACAGGACATCATATTGGTGCTGTTTTCTGTGAGTATGGGTGGGCCCACAGCACATATTCTTCAAAACTTTGGAGTGGGCTCAAGTTGAAGTCTATTGTATGTATAGATGGACTTATGGAACAGCAAAAAACTATCTTTTTCTTGTTGATTTTGACTAGGGATTAAGGCTTACTATTTTATATCTAATACATCCAACCTCATGAATCTGGCCTGTTACCTGAGTAAACACAGGGATGATTCAGCTATTTAGGTAAGACACATTAGTCTATTAAAGCTTTACTGCTAATGGAAACTGAATAGGCTTTGTTCCTAAACTGAAAGACTATCTTCTTTCATGACTGCTAAACTTGGATAAAAGAGTTTTCACTGATATATAATGAAATAGTGTATGCTTCATCAATAACCTTAACATGATCTCTCAAGCCAAGTGCCTTCAAATCAACTACACAACCTATAATATCCACCATGATCATGTCTACTTAGCAACATTATTTTCAGCTACCTTTGGTTGCACATATTTCTCATCTAAGTTAAAATATGTCACTCCTTCATTCTGATAGATGTTGATTAGTTACATTTAGGTCAGTTCTTCTTGCCTTTCTGCACTTCTTTGGACTTACCCTTGCATTAGTGTTCTTTTTCCCTGCTTATTTGGTTTTTTGGATATTAAAACAGATACAATTGTTGGATGTACTGATTATTGTTGATGATAAGTGTCAGAGATCATTTCCTATTGCTAACTGGCTCCCTTTATCCTGTGCTCTCATTTTCCTTTACCCCCTGATCCTTGCATTTGCCTCATATATCAAACTATTGATGTCCACAATGATTATATTATTGCATCATGTGATATCATGTATATTCAATTCATTATGTAATATATATATATACCTATATTAATATAGTGTTTGCTATATTTTGCCCTCACTACAGTTTTGGGGGCAGATGTATATATATGACTTGATAGATATATAGAAAGTAATGATATATTTAGTGTGTTATATAATTTCTACTCCTGCCACTGTTTTATATGCAGAGTTGATCTTAAAATATGGTATATAGGTACAGTAGATACATACTCTTATACATCCCTATCAATCTATTGATATCTGCACATACAACCGTCTTATATGGATATTAATAGATTGATAGGGGTGTATATAAGTATATATCTACTGTACCTATATACTATTTTTTAAGATTAACTCTGCATATAAAACAGTGGCAGGAGCGGAGATTATATAATACACACCAAATACATCATTACTTTCTATATATCTATCAAGTTACAGATATACAGTGGCTCAAAAAAGTGTCCCAATGTTTGTAGGTTTTCATGTAATTGTGTTATTGCGAGCCAGGGTGTGAGAATCTGACTAAGTCAAAGGGAGGTCCCAAAAAGCTCCACTTCTTGGCTACAATTATGTCCCCTATAGCGTGAGAATCCATTGACGCCGTGCGAATATATGGCTATTTTAATTAGGTGACTCATTGGGACACTTTTTTGAGTTTCTATTAAAATATGAAAATCAGATCATTTAGACATGACACCATTTACAAATATATATATAAATGGTCCCATATTGGCAATATGGTCTCATTTTAATATCCTGTACATATATAAACCCTTCCAATAACATCATGTCCCTCATAATCAGCATGAAGTCTATTTCCTCTTCTCAAAGAGATAATATCCTTTTTCTCTCCATCTCTGGTCTATCTATCAGGCAGATTGCCTCCAAAACTGGTCTGGGGAAGTCAACTATTGCCAGGGTTATCAACCAGAATATTCCCAACAAAGAAAATGTCAAAATGGGTCGTCCTTCTAAACTTACTCTGCATGACAAAAGAGCTCTTGTTCATCATATTATATCTGGAAAGGCCTCTACTGCTGTTCAAGCCACAAAATACATCAATTCCATCATCACTACCACTGTCTCCACTCAAACAGTCAGAAACACCCTCAAGGAAGCCAATCTTAAAGCTATAGTCAAGAAGAAGAAACCCCTACTGTCACCAGCCTATAGGAAAAGGAGACTAGCATTTGCTTTAAAGCACCAGCACTGGACTATAGAGGACTGGAAGAGAGTTATTTGGTCAGATAAAACTAAAATCAATAGGATGGGGTCAGATGGTCAAGAGTATGTTTGGAAAAAGGCAGGAGATCCACTTGGAGAAAAAGAAGTGAAAGGTACTCTTAAGTTTGGAGGAGGAAATATGATGGTGTGGGGCTGCATGGGGTGGCATGGGGTGGGAATTCTATGTGAGGTGGAGGGGAGGATGAATGCAGAGCAGTATGTCTCCATTCTGGAGGAGTGTCTGCTCAAAAGCATGCAAGAATCAGGTATTGATGAAGAAGACATTATCTTCCAACAAGATAATGACCCCAAGCATACCTTAAAGTTGGCCACCAAATGGTTTGAGGACCATGATATTACTGTCCTATCATGGCCAGCACAGTCTCCAGACCTCAATCCCATTGAACATCTTTGGGAATTACTCAAGAGAATGCTTGCTGTCTATCAAGACCCACCTAATGGACTATTTCAGTTATGGGAGAGAGTTGTAGTAGAGTGGGGAAAGATTGCTAAGGAGGAGTATCAGAAATTGATAGAAAGTATGCCTAGGAGGGTAGCAGCAGTCATTAAAGCTAAGGGAGGAAACACTAAGTACTAGAATTATAGAAATTATGTATAATTGATTCAAACTCAAAAAAGTGTCCCAATGAGTCACCTAATTAAAATAGCCATATCTTCGCACGGCGTCAATGGATTCTCACGCTATAGGGGACATAATTGTAGCCGAGAAGTAGAGCTTTTTGGGACCTTCCTTTGATTTAGTCAGATTCTCACACCCTGGCTCGCAATAACACAATTACATGAAAACCTACAAACATTGGGACACTTTTTTGAGCCACTGATATATACTAGCCCATGGTCACTTCCTCCCACAACTACTTTGCCTTCTTCCCCAAATGCTACTTGCTTTGGGACCAATACACTTGGCAAACTGGTTGCAAATGTTTGAACAGGCTCCCCATTACCTTCAAGGTGATATAATGTGAAACTGTCTGTTGCATTATCTACAATGAAAATGCCTTGCTTGGCATACACTGCAGCATGACCACTAGATAATGTCAGTAACAAGCCCAGGTCAAGAGCAGTAGTTCCTCACATCACTGATTTACAGTTAATTTCTTGCACTATGCCACCATCTTTATCATTAAGTTTCATGCTGTTCAGCTCTCAGCATCAGGCAATGAGAGTATGCAGTGGAGGGACTGACAAGTTGCCATCATAGAGTCCGAACACATAGATGCTCCAATTGTCTGTGAATGCTACCAACTTGGGCACCGTATTTTCAAGTTGCACTGCAAAGATGGACTAGAGCTGCAAGCTTGTGTTGAGTGTCAGAACCTGAACCATTTTGTCTCTAGTTCCAACTACAATTCACAGGTTGCCTTTAGAGAAAGTCGAACACCATAACAAGCATGTGATCTCAAAACCTGATCCTCAAGACTGAGCACCTGGACCAATGATGTTCTACAAATACAATCTATATACTTAAATCATTGATAACTGAGCAGAATGGAACAACCTCTATGACACAAGATGCTGCCAACAACTACACGTAGTCAGCATATCTTTTGGGCTTTTGCCGAATTCAGGTGCCAAGCACATTGTCAACCTTGCTCCTAGTACTCTTCACCAGTGCATCAGGAAGTGAGCAAGCCGCCAATCTGGTGGCCTTGGTCTTTTTGGGCAACTGGTCATTCATTGCTGGTAATACCTCTCTGGGAGCCATTGTCTTCTTCAGCGACCGGTGATTTACCACCAGTAATACATCTCAGGCAGCCCTGGTCTTTCTCAGCACCTGGTCTGGCACTGTGGGGAATGTAAGAAGATGTTCGAGACCCTGATGAGTTGAATGTGGGCTAAAGCCACGAACTTGCTGGCCGGTATGATGAGAGTGGGTTGGCTCATACCTGGCCTTCATGGCAATGTGGCCATAACTTTCATCTTCTGATCCCTCAGTCACCTGTGCAGCAGGCATGCAGGTGTTTCCTGCTACATAGGCCCTTCTATCATGAGAGACCTTTCTGACCAAATCCATAATTGGTCGGTCTTCAATCATATGCCAAGTCTGTTCAGGGTGAGATGATGGTAGGCTGAGTTCTGACTCTCTTGCCAAAGCCAAAGCTCTTGGGAGCCAGTCGGTCATCTGACTCTGACTGGCATCCCACTGGGTCACCTTGTGTTGCATTTGCACCTTTCCCTACACAATAGGGTGCATGTTTTTTTACCTTTGGCAGAGGCACATCTGCATCAGTCTTGTCAGATTCTTCATCGGCAGAACTGACATGAGCTTATTTGATGAACCTAGGCCGCCCTTTGGGACTCCGGCTGGTGATGGTGCAGCGGCAGCCGATGATGTTTTGGTTGGCATGAGCCACATGCCCTCATCATCAGCATCACTGTTAGAGTCATCAGACTCTTTGCTGACAGGAGCATGCATCTTGCTCTTGTCGTTGATCCAGGCCTTGAACTTCAATATGAGCCCTACCTAGTTGTCTTGTCAGTCCAACCAACATTCCAACGAGGTGTTGGCTTCATCCTGTTGCATTTTGGAAGGGTCCATGATCTTTGCGTCATCTGGCAGGTATATGCTGGAGATAAATCTGGACTGTTCCTTCATTATGTTGCTCCAAGGCACTGGGACCTTCAGTTTTCCACAGCATATTTCTGTGGTGGTGGGCATCAGATGATGCTGTAGGTTTTCTATCAACAGGCTTATGGTAATAAATGGTGACAAATGACTGAATCATTCCCTTCTTGGTGCTGAGCAAGACACCCTCAATATTGGGCAACATCAGCAAACCCATGCAGTCCAGGTTGAACTCATGGTAAGGCTTGAGAACCCAGCGAGTGCCTCTGAGCAGTGTGCCGTCCTGGTCTTAATGAAAGTGACATAAATTAAATGAAGCACCTCTGAGATGGTCTTGAGACTCACTGAATGCATCACCTATGAAATCTTCCCATGCCGGTAAGATGACCTGCCAGTCCTTGCATTTCATGAAGCTGGAGCTTATCCCAAGATGTTCATTGAAGTCAAATCTGCCAAACCATGTAAGCACAATGACCAACCGACCGACTGACCGACTGTATCAACTTGTCCAGATGTAAGTAGGCCACCCTCTCCATCCTTCCAGGAACCTAATACAAAGAGTTCATATCGGCCTGAGTAAACATCTCCTTTGTGAGGTGCTTGATTTGTCTGCTCGTCAGCCGTTGCCCAGGCTTCCTCCAACTCATTGTCACCCAGCCCTTTCATGATTTATAGTGGGTTGATACCTCCTGAAGACTTCTTTCTGCCTAGTCTCCTCCTCAATTTCTTCATGTATTTGCTGAAGAATGTTGGCCTTGCACTGGTCTTCAATTTACTCGGTGTGCTGTCCATTTCTTTTGCAGCTTCATTGGTGCTTTGGCATTGGCCTTGTGTTTCTTGTGATTGTGGAACCACTGCCTGTATTTCTGTTCATGATGACTGTAAAGCAGCATGATCCGACATCAAAGCTGAAACACTTACCTCTTTTCATTGCTTCAAGAGCTCTTGGTCTATCTTTGGAGCTAAGAGTCTGGCTTTTCTGGTGGCCACTTTGAATATTTGTCGTCTCTTGGTTCTACTCGCCTTCCCCCAGTTCTCAATATGGGACTACAGAGCGGTGTTCTCTCGGTCGTTCAACTGAGGCTGATCCCTGACATTTATCTTCATCCAAGTCATGTCACAGTAGGTAGCTTGGAGTAAAGGACCTGGAAATATGAGTGCAGGGTGTTGATGTTGTTGATGGAACAAAAAATGGAAGGAAGAGTCATATGAGCAATGATTTACATAAGTACACGTAAGGGCTAGATTGAGCTGAATAGTGTGAGCCCTATTGCTATGAGACTCATCAAATGGTATACATAGATGCATGAGTGGGTGTGTAGCATGAACTCAGAGGTCCTGAAGTGCTCTTGATGTATCATATATAGAATCACTATTAACCATTGAAATTGCTCTATGAATATCCCTGCTGATGATTAGCAAGAGATTAAAGTGACTATTACATATTATTCGTTACATTTGGCAGTTGCATGTAAGCACCAAAATGTCCCAAAGTCTAAGCATCCCATTCCAAACAAGACATCCTGACACTCACAGTACTACTTTGGTCCATGGTCAAGTCAAAGCCAAAGGCTTGGAGTCCTCCAAAGACATCCTCTTTGGTTCAATGAGAGAACAAAATAACATCTAGAGGAGATACAGGACGATTTGTCAAAGCTCGACATTATAACAAAACAACATCAGTTCATTCATCCTCCAGAAAATCGCCTACCAAGCAGCTATCTACCAAATGACTTCATGTGGAGGGCGACTATGAATACTATGACCTGGGCAAATGCAACTTAGAGTCTTTTCGTGTTTGCAAGTCCATGGCAAGTTGACCATTCACTTGTCTTGTCCCATGTACTGACACCAAATATCAAGAGTTAAAATAACTATCTGCGCAAGTGGCAGTGCAAGACCGAGGACTACTTAGACTTGCTACTTTGGTGAGAGGGTTCACCTTCAAACAGAATGTGCTCAGTCTGTCCAAAGGACAGAGTCTATAGATGTCATGGTTTGTAGATGGTTCCTTTACAAGGTTGCAGATTAATTTGAATTCATGTTGTTGAATCCTTGAGATCACCTTTCCTGAAGACCAACCAACCGATGCACATGGGAGACCTGCTCCACACTGGCTCACCTGATAGAGTGAGATGGTGCTTCTCATCGGTCCACACAACTTCATCAGACATCCATTCCTATCGGCCAACCTGATGGCATTGGGGTACTTTATTTCCATTGGCCCACCTGATCACATCAGTTCCATTGGCCTTTCTATCGGCCCTGCTGATAACATAGGGAATTTTTGTTTTGATTGGCCTGCCTGATGGCATTATTTTCAGTGGCCCTCCTGATTATATCACTCATTCATTGCTATCAGCCCACCTAATAACATCAGGCATTTGTTTATATTGGCCCACCTGACAGCTTCAGTTCCATTGGCCCACCCAAGTGCATCAGGAATTCATTTCCATCAGCCCACCTGATAGTAACTGTTCTATTAGCCTACCCGATTACATCAGCCATTCATTGCTATCAGCCCACCTGATAGCATCAGAAATTCATTTCCATCAGCCTAATTGATGGTATCAGTTTCATCAGCCTACCCAATTACATCAGCCATTCATTGTTATCGGCCCACCTGAGAGCATTGGCAAATTGTTTCCATGGGCCCAACCAATGGTCTCAATTCCATCGGCCCACCTGATTACATTGGCCTTTCATTCTTATTGGCCCACCTGAGAGCATCGGGAATTTGTTTTCATCGGCCCAACCTATGGTCTCAATTCCATCGGCTAACCCAATTATGTTGGTCATTCATTGTTATCCGCCCATCTGAGAGCATAAGGAATTCAGTTCCATCAGCCCACCCGATTATGTTGGGCCATTCATTGTTATCTGCCCATCTAAGAGCATCGGGAATTCATTTTTATTGGCCAAACTGATGCTATCAGTTCCATCAGCCCACCCAATTATATTGGTCATTCATTGTTATCGGCCCACCTGATAGCCTCATACCTAGTCAATGTGTTTCATATGGGCCTATTGATATGCACAGGAAATATCTTCTGCATTGGCCCACATGATGGCTTCATGCCCACCTTTGGCACCGGCTGACTGCTATACACAGTAACTATTTGCTACATGGGCCCAGATGACAATATCATACTGCACTGCTTTTGTTTCCTAGCCACCGGCCGACATGTTAATATTGAGCATCACAATTTATAGGCCCAGCTGTTAAAATCATCTGTCAGTGAGCTGGCTGGCCAAATGTTAGACTTAGGCAGATACATTTAATCAGCCAATATCCACTAGCCTGTGTAGAACGGCATATTTTCAACCTCAGCTGTCTGTATAATACAGACTATGTGACTGAATGGGCTTGCCTCTCCACTTACCATAACCAATTTTTTCCTAATAACCATAATGATATAATTACACATGACTTCTTACTTACAAAATCACTGTCTACCACTATTTTGAATGCAACAGTTGGTACCTACCCTTTTATTTTATTTGAGTTTCTATTCATTATTTGAATTATTAACTAGCTCACTAATATAATAGGTTATACATAGCTTGAAGTTCAGTATCCATACCTAGAGACTGATCTATAGACAAGACATAGGCTACTAGGTAGGTATCAGATCAGATTAGTAATTACTTATAGTAACCATATAATGATTGCCCTTTATTTATTGACACTTCTAAGTTTATCTTTTAACATAATACTATACTACATCTCAAGCTTTATTACATACTATCATGTTTAGCTTAACAGCAACACCTCCCACAAATTATCAATCAGCTATTACTATAGTCTCTATTATTATAATATTTACACTTCCTCTGCTTATTACTAGTACCTCTTCATGGTTATCCAAGGCCCTTTCTATGCTTTCTTTTGAACACATTACCATCATTGCAGCGATAATCATCATCTTACTCTTTACCTATCTCTATATTAGGCTTTCTAGAAGATTTGCATACTCTGTTGGGATACTTCTTTAATCCACTAATTAACACCTTATCATTTATTTTTTCTTTCATCTAAGCTTTAGAATTAGACTACAATCATATTTTTGAGACTAATAATTTGACTCCAACAAAATATGACAGTTTCTTTGTGCTGCTTAAACTTAGAACAAAAGATACCAATATATGATCTGGGTTCTAGGAAGATGAATCTATAATGTAATGCTATGCTTACCTATAGCACTAACTATTTTATTTAGGGCATATAGATTTATTAAGACTCAAAATATAGTTATAAAAGACATTATTCTTAAGAGGTCTATTCTAGACTTTGATAGACCATTCTTCACAGTTGCCATTAAAGAGGGAACCAATGAGATTATCCACATTAATTATGATAACATTAATTTTATTATATTGCTTATTGCTCTTGGTGACTAGAAGGGTGGGTATATTATTCTTCTACAGGATGATATTATATGTCATATCTCTATTTATACTAGAGATATGTTTGGTTTCATGGCCTGAACTTTGACAGTCTGTACTGCCTCAGTCACTAAGAAACAGAGAATCATTCTAACATGCTTTTCTGATAGCAATCCTTCAAAATGAGCAGTTTCGGTTTTTCTTCAAATCAGTCAGAATTCTTTAGTTTATGTTATAGTCTTGAAATAGTCATCAATTTGCTATGAGAATATATATCACCTTTTACATTCTTAATGGTGAGTACCTCTATGATGCTCTACTAACTAAGAATTACCAATGATATGAGACACCAAAACCTCTCCAACACTATCTTCTTAGATAGATGATCCATAGATAAATACCTATAAAACCAATTTGTCATATATTATATAAAGAACCACAAATATTGGAATATTTTCTTTAGCCATTATATAGTAATAACTAAAGGATCTACTATCTCACTACAAAGTTAGGATTAGCATAAAGTACTACAAGGCTGTCTGTATGATAAATGAAAATAATCTAATATCCCTAGGTTATAGGAACACAAAACTCCCACCCTTCCCAATTATTTACTGCAAATATGAATGTTTAAATAACATAGTCATCATTCTACTCAATATGTATTACAGCACCACTCTAATATAAACTTATAATACAATGGTCATGATGTGTATTCCAGATATATAGATATATTAATTACCTGTGGCTATGATAGCTAAGGCAGAATTTATGTTAGAAGGGATATCTAATTTTTTTAATTAGATTGCTCTTAGCTTCAGCAAGCTTGCTAAGAATTTTTAACTCCTGTTTCTGACCAGTTCAACTTCTATTTGAAAACTTCTTCACTTCTATAAGTAGGCTGATATTGGCCATAGTAATTCTCTACCCTCCATAATGATTATTTCATAATGGCTAAGCTACTGTAGTCAAATTAAAGATTATGAAATCTATAAAGATACTCTAGGCATTTTTTCATGACAGTTGATGTAAAGAAAATGTCATTCACACTTATTCTCATTTCATATCCTTACTCTTAATAATATTGTCTTCTTGAACTACCTACTTTGCTATAAATATCTCCTTGGAGTCATCACTATTACATCTATCTTCATTATCATCTGCAGACACAATCTAAATAGGAAATTATAATACAATGATTAAGTTTGAAACACCTGCCACTAAATCTAAGAGCATCTGATTCCATAATGAGTTAAAATAATTCTAGTCAGAGGGGAAACTAGGTTGAGGGTCTGCACTGTTTGTTAGCAAAGAACCCAAACTATTAACTACCCAAAGAATAATGCCCTGACCTAGTACTAAGGTGGAACAATATTCTATGTATTGATAACCCATAACCACTTGCACACAATATATAATACTCTAGGTGGAATGGGAGTGTTGGAAATACCTGTAGATATAAGATAGTCATAAGTAGTAATGATAGTCCTTCAAATAGCAAGACTATTTGATAAAGATATTTAATTCTAGTTGGGCACTTTGAAA